AAATTGTAGATGAGCCGTGCACAAGTAAAGAAATGCAAATTGGGTGGGTTTAAGTGCATATAAAAAGCAAATTGGGTTGGACATTTTTTCAATTGGGCTTAAACAGTGGGCTGGGAGTTTGGACAGTGGGCTACTACTGAGTTGGACTGGAAATGGGCTACTACGAATAAAGATAATAATAAAGAAGTAATATTTTTTTACAATTATTCCCTACGGCTTTCCATACTACAAAAATGCGGTATAATAACCTCAGATCTTGATTCAGCCCCTAGAAATAGCTGAATCATTACTTCTGCAGTAGCAACAAGACAAGCTCTTTTTTGAGGTTTCCTTTTTCTTGTTAGTTTGCAGCATGAATGACACTGTAGTAAGCTTGGACAAATTTAGCATTGCCATTCATGCCTGATGCTTATTTCTTGGTTGAGTCATACTTAGCTCAGTGATAGTGATATTATAAAAAGAAGGGAGACGAGATTAAGTACAAATAGAGCAAAGGAACGGAAGCTAGCTCGAACATGGACGGATTGGGTACATAACTTACACTTTCTATTTGCTCAAGTTACTATGAAAAGCATGTCTTCTTATAAAACAAACACGAATTGCATATATAATCAAATCACTTGAAGACAGCAAGTATTCTGGAAATAAATCCTAACAAATCAGAATTCAAGAGCACTAATTCGTAAAAGTAGATTTAAAAAATTCAAGAACACTACTGCAAACAGTCGACTATTAGTGTGGGTTCTGCAGGAACGCTGCCGGCATGCCGAATAGGAACTAGGATTGGTAAATGGGGGATTTGGAATCGATTAGGAATTTAACATAAATACGCAAATATTTGTGGGAAATCTGCAAGAGCTCCAGTTTTTAACAGTTAATACAAATATGCAAACGGGCTTCAAGTACACAAATTTCAAACTTGGATAATCTGATGTGTGTAAATCAAAACCGCCATCCTACTTCCTACTCCAATAATAAACACAAATACCAAATATTAAGGCAATTTTCCTATTCGGCATGCCCAATAGGAACTAGGATTGGTATGTAATCGAATCAATTTTTTTTTTATTTTTTTTACATAGAGCAGTACTCACCTGATCTGAAATTGACCTAAAATTGACCTAAAACATTGAAGAAGCAATAAAAAATTGGATCTTGAAACGGTGTTGACGGCCACCACATCAGCTCCTACCTCCACTGCCGTTCTTCCGTCTAGGTTTTGCTGTTGATCTCTCAAGCATTTGGTTTTGGACTCTCAACTTTGGAGGTTTTGAACTTTTGAAGACTTTGGTTATTTAAAAAAAAAAATGGGAGAAAAAAAAATCGGGCCCCTGAAAATCTGGTCCTGAGGAGGAGGCCTCTTGGGCCTCTCCTCAGGTCGGGCCCAGGAGGCGAAGGATTTTATTGGGCCTAAGCGGTGGATTAATGGGTTTTTAATTGGATGGGCTAAACAAGAAAAAAAAGAAGGATAACAACAGAGGAAATTACACCAAACCATGTCTTTTTTTTTACATTTTAAAAATTCAAGTTTTTAAATTTTTTTTT